TAATTTATAAACAATTATTGTACTCGTTTTGTTTTAACTTTTTAAGCCAAACATTTTCATGAAGCATATACAATTGAAGTCAGAATTATTAGCCCCCCTTTGATTTTTTTTCTTCTTTCTTAATATTTCTCAAATGATGTTCAACAGAGCAAAGAAATTTTCACAGTATATCTGATAATATTTTTCTTCTGGAGAAAGTCTTATTTGATTTATTTCGGCTAGAATAAAAAGCAGTTTTTAATTTTTAAAAATCCATTTTAAGGTTAAATTATTAGCCCCTTTAAGCTATATATTGTTTGATAGTCTACAGAACAAACCATTATTATACAATAACTTGCCTAATTACCCTAACCTGCCTAACCAACCTAATTAAGCCTTTAAATGTCACTTTTAGCTGTATAGAAGTGTCTTGAAAAATATCTAGTTAAATATAATTTATTGTCACCATGGCAAATATAAAATAAATCAGTTATTAGAAATGAGTTATTAAAACTATTATGTTTAGAAATGTGTTAAAAAATCTTCTCTCCGTTTAACAGAAATTGGGGGAAAAATAAACAGTGGGGCTAATAATTCTGACTTGAACTGTATGTCTCAGTTTCATCAGTAAACGTCATTGTGAGATTTTACTTTTGTAATATGTTGTCACATACTTAAAAAAATAAACACTTAAAGTTTGATGCCTTGCCTATGCTAAAACCATGAAGTAGCCTAATAGTTTACCAATATCCTTTTCTAGTGTGCTAATTTATATCAACTAATTTCTTCTAGCATTTCCATGATGCAGTTTTTGGATTTGTGGACCGCATTCATCCTCTGTAAGGATTTTTACCTGACTTGAGAAAACCTTGCTTACATGACATCATACTAAGAGGAGAACTGGATACCCGGCTTCCCAAGTCCACCAGCACCCCTCTGTGGCCTGTGGTGGGTTGCACGTTGGATATAAAACTACCAAGCCAGTGCAAACCATGGATGACCTAATCGCCAGACACTACAACTTCACTGGGAAATTTCGCAAGGTCCACAAGGACCCGGGACTCAAAGCGGACTCTGTTGTGTTCATCATCGTGTGCTGCTTCATCATCCTGGAAAATGTTCTGGTTCTCCTTACTATTTGGAGGACCAAGAAGTTCCACAAACCCATGTACTACTTCATTGGGAACTTGGCCTTGTCAGACTTGCTGGCCGGAGTGGTCTATACTGCCAACATCCTGCTGTCAGGAGCCAATACCTACAAGTTGACCCCAACGCAATGGTTCTTCAGAGAAGGGAGTATGTTTGTGGCCTTGGCTGCATCAGTGTTCAGTCTCTTAGCCATCGCCATTGAACGACACCTGACCATGTTGAAGATGAAGCTCCACAACAATGGCAAGACCTGCCGGGTCTTCATGCTCATCAGTACCGTCTGGTTCATCGCCGCCATCTTGGGCGGTCTACCAGTCATGGGATGGAACTGCATCGACAGCATAAACAACTGCTCCACAGTTCTGCCTCTCTACCACAAAGCCTACATCCTTTTCTGCACCACCGTATTCAGCGTTATTCTCATGGCCATCGTCATCCTGTACGCCCGCATCTATGCCTTGGTGCGCACACGGAGCCGCAAGCTAGTCTTCCGCAAGGTCGCCAACGGCCGAGGCTCCAACAAGAGTTCGGAGAAGTCTATGGCACTTTTGAAGACCGTCATCATCGTGTTGAGCTGCTTCATAGCATGTTGGGCGCCGCTCTTCATCCTGCTCCTCCTTGACGTTGCCTGTCAGACCCTCACCTGCTCAATTCTCTACAAGGCCGAGTGGTTCCTCGCTCTGGCCGTGCTCAACTCTGCCATGAACCCTCTGATCTACACCCTGACCAGCAACGAGATGCGCCGGGCCTTCATTAAAATGCTCAACTGCGGCGTCTGCGTCCAACCTTCAGGCAAGTTCTCCAGGCCCATCATGGGTGCTGAATTCAGCAGGAGCAAGTCAGACAACTCCTCCCATCCCAATAAGGACGAGCCTGAATACTCGCCCAGGGAAACCATAGTGTCTTCTGGGAATATCACCTCTTCTTCTTAAAGGGACTATTCGTGAACTTTTTCGTCTCGATCTGTAGCATTCGATTGGATGAGTGTGTGTTTGTGCTGGTCTGGAGAAACTAGGAATTGTTGGAAGTCAACTGCGATCACATTTAAGACCTGATCTTCTGCTGCTCCTGACAGACCACCTGTTGAAACTATTCTGCAACTTAGGGAAGCACTTAACCGAACTGTTACTCCATTATTTTTGTCGAATGGATTCCTGTAGACAAGCACTTTTCGGGGATTGCTCCCTGAGAACCAACATAGGCATTACTGACTTTCTCTAAAAACGGATTGATGTGAAACGTACTAGCTTGTTGTACTACATTGTTGAAATTAAACTGAAGAAATGCGGTCGAGAGGTACTTCTGTTTCTTCGAGTTAACACTATGGTATTAAGATTTATTTCGCCCCTGATCCAGAATGTATTTTGTAAATGTATTTGGTTTTTCGTCACCTTTCAACAAATAAAGTGTTGCTGTTGTTGTATTAGAGCGTGCATGTACATTAGCTGTCAATATTAATTTATCTTCAAACAGTTCCAATACATTTGAAACTAGGAGGGATGGAACTAAATATTGTGTGTATTAATTGTAAATATATTTTATTATTTTACTACGATAGTACGCCATGTATTATAGCTTGTGCACATTGATCTGTTCTGCCGTCCATCGGGGCGGTCATTTTGTCTTTGCGTGACTCAACTCTTAATGAAATTAATTTGATGGGATGGAAAGATGACATGCCACGGTCCAACAGAATATCAGCTGGTTTATCATAGTAAAGGCTTGTACTCTATTTATCTGTTCCTCGTAAATACAATCAAATCATGAGCCAGTTTTGTCCCTGTTCACTGTTGCACATTGTAACATCTAGCCTATGTGTATTTGTTCTGTTAGTTGTTAATAAATGTTGTTGAAAGTAAAACCAAGCCATGTTGTGTTTTATATTTATGTATTGTGTTATGTAATCTTGTCTTTAGTGTTTATAATCAGGTGTTTTGAGATCATAGTTAAAATTATGGAATTCTGAATCAAATAAATACCCATAGGGGGGGTCACAGTGGCGCAGTGGGTAGCACGATCACCTCACAGCAAGAAGGTCGCAGGTTCGAGCATCGGCAAGCAGTTCTGTGTGGAGTTTGCATGTTCTCCCAGTGTTCACAAGGGTTTCCTCAGGGTGTTCCGGTTTCCCTCACAGTCCAAAGACATGCGGAACAGGTGAATTTGGTAGGCTAAAATTGTTTATAGTGTATGTGTGTGAATGAGAGTGAATGGGTGCTTCCCATTGATGGATTGCAGCTGAAAGGGAATCCGCTGCATAAAACATATGCTGGATAAGTTGGCGGCTCATTCCACTGTGACCGCTGATAATAAAGGGATTAAGGGGCCAAAAAGAAAATGATTGAATGAATGAAAACACGGTGATGTTTGAGACAAAATAAATATTTGTGAACACCAGGACATATTGAAATAATTTCTTCATGCAAACATTTCCAAATAAACTTAAATCATTATTCATTTTTTGCATTTAGAAAGACTTAGTAATAATAAAAAACATTTGTAAATGGGTCTCAGACTTTTGTACTAGGGCTGCAGACATTGTTAAAATCTAACATTGTGATATTTTGTTATTGCATTATATATATTACATATATTTTGTTATTGCATTATATATGCATCATGTTGTATTAATATCGCAATATATAACACACACACACACACATATATATATATATATATATATATATATATATATATATATATATATATATATATATATATATATATATGTTATATATTGCGATATTAATACAACTTCAGCAAATGACACCAGATGAATTCTGTTTGGTAAGAATTGATCATTATAGTGGATTGATTGGGTTAATTCTGTCAGTGCGTAATAAACAATCTCTACAAGCGTAGATAAATACAATAAAGAAAAGATACGAATGAAATAAACTGTTTTCATTTATTAATATAAACATTTATTGTTTTTCGAGGAGTCTAACAGTATTCAGGTACATTAATCAAATGTAAAATAAAACTGAATAGTCTTTGTTGTATAAATAAATCAATACACTTAATCGTTATTAAGGTTACAGTTGGAGCAATTTCTTATGTGTGAATGCTTTTACAATTCTCAAACAATCACAGGCCTCAAAAATGCATGCAAATGAGGAATTATTATCCAGAATCAACATTGCATATGCTGCAATGACACTATTGTGAATGCTTACATTGCAATATCGATTAAAAGTTCAAGTTAAATTAAAGTTAAAATTAAATCGTTATAGTCGATGGAGATTGAATTTTAAATAAATAATTAAACTGATACAAACAAACAATAAGGTGATTTAATAACGTCGAAGATCATCTACAGAAAAAACTAATGTCAAAGAAATAATCCAGTCACCGAAGCGAAAGATGTGCCCATATATGAATAAATGGCGCCACCTACTGGATTTGTACTGAAATGGCTTCATCAAACCGTTATGATTTTTACAAGTATTAATCTATTCGTAAATCTTAAATTCATAAATTCACACAGTGTGCACATATAGACTAACAGCCAAATTTTACATTTAACAGGATGTAAAGTTGCTCATATATTATGCATATAGATGACTATCTAGTATCTAACAAATATTGAATATATGAATCCACCTATTTTGCTCCCATTCAGTGAATTCGGTGCCACATATAACCTTGTCCAACTATTTTTTACGTATCGTATTAGCAATTGTGTTTTTTCTGCAAAAAACGCTGCATTCTACATATTATTAATGATACAGTAAATTCACACACACTCACTATATATATATATATATATATATATATATATATATATATATATATATATATATATATATATATATATATATATATATATATATATTTCTTATATAAAGTTTTGATTTTAGATAATACACGACTAATAGCCTATATGTTTTCTTCCTGGGTTCAATGGGTTCAGTGTTATTGATATCGAATGGGCCTGCAGTGCCCTGCAACAAGAGTTTCTCCAACACGTGTGTAATTTATTCATAAAATGCTATATATTCAAGTGTAAAACGACTTACTGCCTTTTAATGGCTGAATGCCTCTCCATTTTTATCTCTCTATACCCCCTCACACATAAAAGAGAGGAAGAAACTGTCACCAAAAAATGCAACCGAACTCTTTACCTACTTTCACAGCGATGGTAAAAACAAAGCATCATGGGAGCACGAGTCCTCTTCGCCGAGTTCCACCTTTGGAAGTTGTTACGGCTGGGACGCGACAGAACTACATTTCCTAGAATGCCATTTTCTGTACATTGGCTCATGTTATACATGGGGGAATATGAGAGCGGCGGAGGAACCGAAAGCGACAGCAGAATCCCTGGCGATAAGTATAGCGATAAATAGTGGTCGTGAAATGGGGGGAATTCAATGCCCGATCACTCAAAACAGACTGTCGTAAAAGGAAAACCGTATTTTGGGTTGTATTTTTGTGTAAATATAAATTTGGCGTGGACCGGGGTAAGGCACCTCCCTGCTTGCTCTGCGCCGGGGTGTGTGCGTGTTTTTCGGGTAGGCTTCATCGCATCACCGCGCTGCAGTGTGTTACTGGAACCGAACTGAGGTGCCACGCCGCCGGTTACAGCTGCCCTGCGCCGTCGGCCGATACTATGTCAAAAACAGAGAGAGACAAAGTAACACTGCGAACCAATCCTACTGACCTATGCAATGCAAAAATGGCAACTTTGCTGTCTAACAGCTGTGGGTTGTAGCCATAAAGAAGTGCAAGAGTGCCGAAAAATATAGTGGAGATTTTTGTGCCTGAAATCTAAAAGGTGAGGGAAATCTTTGTCGCATCTCACTTCAGATGTAACTTTTCTTCAAGAAAAATGGGTCATACGTTGCATTGCATTGTTATAACTGAAATGCTCCAGTTTTATTTTTCATGAATGCTGAATGCTATTAAATGACAAGGGTTGTCTTTGTAATTTCATAAACTTTTAAACAGGTTGTTGTCATTGCTGTTGTTAAAGCATGTGTGTAGTTATCATCATTCAGCCATGTAATAACCATTGTTTTAAGCTTTTCAGCATGCTACATGTAATCTGAGGTGTTACAAAAAATCTGGTCAGCTCTTAAAGATGTAGTGTGCAGATGCTGCAAAAATAGTGACTATATTCAATCTGGCTGACAGCACTCCGAAAAGTTAGCTTTCACTTTTTGTGAAATTTTGGATATGGACTGAAAACTTGTGGGGAGCAAATATACATTGTCATAAGAGTTAACAGGAAGTGGAAAAAGGAAATGTATCCATAAGAAGAATGGCATGAAGAAGACCATCTCATTTCAAAAAAATTTGAAAGCTCCTTCAAATACCGCCTCCAAATGCGTACTTAGTTTTCCATACATTAAAGAACACGACCGGTGGACCCTTTGCTGCCTCAAACGTCCCAAGATTCATTGTGTGCTGATAACGGCAGGACGTTTTTTTAAAAACCCCAGATTAAATGTATGAATTATGTTTACTTTACTTGGATATTTAAACGCGTTAAAAAAACAAAAAGAGTTTGACATGTCTTACTAAAATGTGATTTTATAGACAGTTTACATTTTTATGTGTACATGTGCACCAGTTGACTCTGATGAACTCTGTGAGTTAGAGCTACTTGAACAAAACTTCAGACAAGTTTCCCTGAACACGTCCGCATTAACTATTGTCAGCTGGTCCCACACTTTTCTTTGGGAAACAGCCTTTGAATAATTAATTTGTGGTTTTCTCTGTATATAAATTTGGCATGAGGGCAGCACAGTGGCTAGGTGTTCTCACAGCAAGAAGGTCAGTGGTTCAAGTCCCGGCTGGACCAGTTGACATTTCTGTGTGTAGTTTGCATGTTCTCCCTGTGTTGGTGTGCATTTCCTCCGGGTGCTCCGGTTCCCCCACAGTCCAAAGACATGTGGTATAGGTGAATTAAATAAGCTAAATTGGCCATAATGTATGAGTGTTTCCCATTGCTGGGTTGCGGCTGGAAGGTTATTGGCTGCGTAAAACATATGCTGGATAAGTTTTATTTCCCAGTGGCTACCCCTGATAAATAAAGGGACTAAGCCGAAGGAGATGAAATGAAATGAAAATTGCACATCTTTTGTCGCAATGCAAAACGTGTCTCTATTATATTGCATTTTTAAAGAACTTTACAGCTTTACAGACTTAATCCAATAACCTGAACTTCTTTTTATTTGTCCGCAGCTTTGAAAAGCAGCGCAATAGGCAGCCCGCATGGAACGAGCAGGAAGCATCCAACTTGATATTCCGGACTTCAGCAACTCCGTCCTGTCGCACTTGAACCAGTTGCGAATACAGGGTCGTCTATGTGACATTGTTGTCAATGTTCAGGGCCACAGTTTTCGTGCCCACAAGGTGGTCCTTGCCGCCAGCTCCCCCTACTTCAGGGACCACATGTCACTGAGTGAGATGAGCACCGTGTCCATATCAGTCATCCGGAACCCAACCGTATTCGAGCAGCTCCTTTCGTTCTGCTACACAGGACGATTATGCTTGCAACTTGCCGATATCATCAGTTACCTGACGGCTGCCAGCTTCCTCCAAATGCAGCATATTATTGATCGTTGCACACAGATTTTGGAAGGCATCCACTTTAAAATCAGCCTATCAGATGTGGAAGAGGAGCTCGGGAATGGAGCTCATAGAACCACCAACCAAACCATTGAGTCGGGACGAGGTGGGACGACACTAAGTGGGTCCCGCTCCTTGAGTCCCAGACTCACAAGCTCCCGGTTGATTGGCAACACTGGGGTGATCAGCATCCGCGATGTGAGGGAAGTTCGAGAGATTAGTCCCCCTGGGGAGTCCATGAGCCCTCAAATAGTGGAGCACAGTGGCATTGGCTCCGAGGAGGTAGGATCTGGAAAAGAACCCATTCTTCGAATTAACCGAGCCGGGCAATGGTATGTTGAAACAGGACCTGAGGCAGAGAGAGGAGGAGAGGAGAACGTGCGGATGGTTGATGGGTTTCGGATTAAGACAGAAAGGATGGATGAGTGGATGGGGGCAGAGACCCAGGCTTCAGCGGAGGAAGGCAGTGGGGCAGAGGAGGGGCCGACAGTAATGATTGACACCTCAGGACGTAGCACACTAGTGCAGGAAGGAGGAAGAGGTGGGAAAAGTTCCCAGCCGTCCAGTAGCTTCAGTGAAACAGAGAGGTGTGTATGGCATCTAAAGGAAGTTCACGTTCAATTTTAAAAGTTTTTTTTTTTGTATAAGAATCTTATCGATGTAGATACAAACTTTCTTTTATGTTAAGGAACGTCAAGACACAGTACTTAAATGTATTTCACTTAGCTCAATAACACTTTTTCTGTTTTGTTTGGTAAAATTGTGAACCTGTACTTGTTTTTTTCCTCAGGTTTAGTCCAACAGGTAGTGTGGTGGTCATGGCTGATCGCCAGAGAGCCAAGAGTGAGTCTCCAGGAAGAGTTGACGATCAGAGACATCCCACCTCACAGGTAAGGCATCCCAAACATAGTTGTAATCAAAAGTTTACAATTACAACCCTTTAATTTCTTTAATACCTATAGATCGTTTCAAATAAATATTGGTCAGTCACACTTGCTGAGCAAATAAAAAAACCTTACAATTGTACCGCTGACAGAACAGGTGGTGTGCCTATGTTAACCTATGTTAGACCATTAACTTTTCACCCTTTTCCATACAGGGAGAGGAACAAGCTGTGTTTGACATGGGAGGATATGAGGAATACCTACGAGAACAGGTAGGTGACAGGTGGTTCCGCTACAACCCCCGTCTCACCTGCATTTACTGCTGCAAGTCCTTCAACCAGAAGGGAAGCCTAGATCGTCACATGCGCCTGCACATGGGCATTACCCCTTTTGTCTGCCGAATCTGTGGGAAGAAATACACCCGCAAGGACCAACTTGAGTACCACATCCGTAAGCACACAGGAAACAAGCCCTTTCATTGCCATGTCTGTGGCAAGAGTTTCCCGTTCCAGGCTATCCTCAACCAGCACTTCCGTAAGAACCACCCAGGCTGTGCCCCACAGGAGGTGTCCCATAGTGCCTCTCCCGAGACCACCACGGTCACCTCCCGTGGAGGACAGAACGAAGACGAGTCACCCAGCCAGGAGGAAGCTGAGGGCAATGGTGGAGGGGGAGGTGCTGGCTCATCCTTCGGAGAAGGGGTCCAACCGTCAGTCTCTACCACTGGGCCTGACTGAAAGGCTTTGACGAAAAATGTTACAAATTTAGGGAGACACAGGACAGCAGGGTCAAACAGGACCTTCTCTCTTGAGATCCGCCTGTCCCTTGTCTCCCAACATCCACACTGAAAGTTGCAATTTGGAAGAAGTTGAGTAAGCAGGAGGTTCTTTCAGCTACTGTCAAAAAGGAAAGGTCTAAAAAAAAAAAAGGGATAGTCTTAAGCGTCCCATTTGGACAAAGATCCTCTATTTTTTTCAATGATAACAAAGATGCAAGGAACAGTTTGCTAGGAATAGTATTCTCTAGGGATTTATAAATGGTATTTCCGCTTTAAACCGCATCTACCTTCACCATACAAACTGAACAGGACGTCAATATATGAAGACAAGCCACACTCCAACAACCTCACACACCACTGGATGCAGTGATTAATTTTGTTCGTTTGATTTGTTTTTAGTCTTTTCTGTCTTTTTATATGTTATGATTTTTTATATTTTTGTACTACTACAAATCTTTCAGGATAAACAAAAAGAGAAGCTCTAGCTATGATTTGGTCAAATTTAGTCAAAAATTGCCAAACTTCTCTGTGCCAGAAGTTGCATTTTAAAATGAGAGGACATCGTAGTCCTTCGCTATTTTGCCTTGAGACAATCTTGATAAATTAACCTGGGACTTGACTTTGTGCTCCCCAGTCATGGCAAGCTTAGGAAAACGGGTTCAGTTTTTTTTTTTATTAGGGACCCTCAGGTCTGACCTAACATAAGATTCTTAGTTTCTTTTTAAGTGCCGATCCGGCCTGCCATATAACTGAAACGCATTGCTCACACTTAGCCTCAACGCAAGGAAGTTGTAGAACTTAGGGTTTATAACCAGAAACACTCACATTGTTGTTTTACTGTTTAATGTAGGTGGTAATACTGTGATATAGGCACGCTGGTGAAAGGACAAGGGTCAAGCATAGCAGTGACATATTTATTTACTTTTTAATTTCCGTTAAGGCCTTCATACATCTCCAAACTCAACTACTCAGCTGCTGAATGTGGGCGATACAGTGATATAACACACAGGAAATCTTTCAACCTCAAATAAGCTACAATAGACCGCTCAGTTACCTCTCTCTCACATCACTACGCAATACCGATCTGTCACACGCAGATGTGTGGATGCACTCAGCCGAATTTTATGTTCATTGTTTAATTTCTTTCTTTACGTTGAGATTTACAAGCCTCACCAACTTGTTTTACAGATATTTTGTTTGTAAGAATGTTTTTGAGCAGGGGGAAGGGGTCCCAGAAGACGTAACCTTCTTCCTTTTATGTGTCAAGTCAAAAGAATTGAGTCTAGTGCGGAGACGAACCAAATGTGGACTTGGTTGTCAATGCCATTTAGGAAAACGGAAACCGTATGTCTGTGATGACTGGGGGAAAAAAAATTAAATGCCACGGAATGACTTTGAGTTTAAGTTTTCCCTTCATCTAATGGAAGGCACTTTAACCTTGGGGTCAAGTGCCTTTACACTTGGCTTATGAACAGATGTTTCCAGATGGTGCTATGACGTGAATTTACTGAAGCTCTCAGTAACCAAAGGAACTGAAACTTGGAAGTTCTTAAACCCTTGGGAGGGTGAACAGGAGAAAAAGAGATTACATCAGGCACTTAAAGAAAGGGTGGGGGTGTTTGTTTAGTTTTTGGAATACTTGTATATCTATATACATGTGTCACTTATGCATATTTAGACAAATTTATACATGTAATAACAACACAGAGGCAGTTTCGAGAACGATCAACAAAAGCAAAGGTGTTTAAGCGCAAGTCAAGCTGTTATTGTTTTTATAAGGCTGTGAATTACACTTGATTGCGACTGATTTTTTTATTTTTTAGGAAATGGTTATAAAAATCAGCTACTGATGTTTCCGATAGAGATTTTGTGCACCTCGCTTCATATCAAACACAGGTTGGAACTTACTTTTACCGTTACTCTCATCTGTGAACACAGGTCAGCAGGTAAACACTTCTTACAAATATCAGGAACTCTCTGTTTACTTTTGGTGTTGACCTTTTCGGTTTGTACCAAGCAGATTTTCTTACTTGGAACTCTAGCTCTGGGTAACTTGGGTCGACATATTTCACGAGTGCAGCGAGAAAAAAAAAAAACATGAATATTTTCACTCAATGTAAATAGCCATGCCTCAGAAGCATCCGCATTGAAATACAATTCTGAAACAGTATGATTTCACGTTTGTTGTACAGTTAAGAACCCAGGTAAATAGAAGAGCATGTTGATATTGCTTTTATTTGTCACAATGCAACCTCATGATAAGGGCAGATGAGTATGTCTGTAAACAACAACATAATCACAATCTAATATGTTATAATATATCAAGCAAATAGGTTCTTTTAACGCCTTTACGTTTAAATTTAGATTTGGGGCATGAGCCTGTTTTGTGTATGCCAATCATATAAGGGTGATAGTGACTTAAATTATCTCTATGTGAATGAATTAACTGCAATTTAATATCAAGGGATCTATATCTATAATCAGTCATTCCGATTGTTATTGAGCTGCACCTTTTAGCAGTCTAAATTTAATCATGTTAATTTGGGTTTCAGGGCTTATGATAACTTTTTAGCATGTTTCCCTAATGTTGACCTTCGAAACATTGATGGTTGACCAACCTGTCTGTTTTTGTTCAACTATATTATTCATTCTAATATTATGTGTTTGGCTTTTGTATGTTTTTCAAGCTTTAAGAGGATAAATGTGTTGCTACGGTGTATATATTAGCCTGTAAAATGTAATGTTTCTCTATGACAATACATCTACTGCAGTTCAATTATTGACTGATCAAGTCAATCCTAACCAAATTATGTCTAATCTTAACACAGTGTTATTGAATGTGTAGTTACATATGGAACAACATTGAAGCAATATTTCGGCCTATTTCCAGATGAAAGGGTGCAGAATGAAAATGCACTTGTGCAAACGGCGACCAGTCGATTTCAACATGAAAAACTTGTTACGCGTTTATGCATATTGCAATACCTGCCAACACTTCCATTTTTTCTGGGAGTCTCCCGTATTTCAGACCCATCTTCCTTCACCCTCTCATTTTGTTACTTCTGGAAAACTCCCATCATTTTTTATACTGTAATCGTGGATTCACACGGGGCTTCAGCGTCAGTGCTTGACTGAGGGTGTGTCTGAAGTTGGGGCTGACACGATCAGCCAATGAAATTAGTCCACAATAGGCTACTTTCTGAGCTGGGGTATTTACTGAAGCGTCAGCCAATCAGATTGCTTTATGCAAAGTTGAGAAATCCCGAACTTCTGCAGCAAGCAACGCCGCTGAATTGGCGCCGACGGATCCACAATTCAGTTCGGCAACGCTTGATGTCAACTATTCTAAGTAAATGGGAATCGTTGACACCCACTGTGAATGGTGTGTGACATCCACGGGTCGCCGACTTTGGTATAGTATCCGATCGCATCGGTTGCCCGAAACCCGGTGCATAGTACAGTTACTTACCCAGTTCTCAGCCTAACACCAAACCGCCCACTGTGGGTTCCCGGATTTTCAGAGACAAATGTTGGCAGGTATGATATTGGCGAATGGGATAAAATTCTATCTGTGCGATCACATTTACCTCATGTTTATTTGTTTTTTTTTCATGGTCCGCCTTGTGAAACGTGATAAAGTGCATGTCTCTACTTAGTCGTTTTTTGTTATTTTTTGGGGGGAGGGAAGTCCGACTGACAAAACTGAGCCATATCTTCAGAGTTTGTTCAGTCTTGTCGTGAGTCCCTCTGGAGCAAATATTTTGTACAAGCAACACATTTCAGAAGAGGACACTTCAATAGCCTACATATATATATTTCAACTCTTAGTCTGTCTGAATAAGCAAACAAGCAAGTGATGCAGTGTCAAAAAAAAGTCAATTGTTTTGTTTTTACCTCAAAAGAGTCTTTGTACAAGGAAACAAGACATTGTTCTTCTACTGACCTTCAGTAGGAATTGTTTATTTGCATGTTGTCTGTCTTTTGTAATGGCCAAACATAAAGACAATTCCAGGCATCTAAATTTGCACCAACAGAAGCCAAAATATTGACCTTTTACGAGTTGTCATGCTATATTGTTTTATCTTGTAAAAGCAATATAGTCTGTAAAGTTCTTTCCATGTGTCTTAGAAGATTTAATCACTTTAATTTAAACCATACTTCAGAAAATATCTTATTTTACAAAACCACGATAAAGCAAAAATATTTTATTCTTGGGAAAAAAAAAGGTCCAAATTCCAAAACACGAGAATAGTTGTCTTAAAATTTTAATAGTAGACCAATATATTTATTGAGATAGCAAATGTTTTAAAAATTAAGAAATTATATTGATAGGCAATTAAAGTATATTTACTTATTTGAGATTAATCTGCGTTTATGATTGCTTTAAATTTGCATTTCAAATGGTACAGGAATCAGAAAGTTTAATCATTAATAATGTGAATGCCATCTTCACGATAACCACTATGTTTATTTTTGTTTCCTTACTGGCAGTGTGTCAAGTCCATTCTTCTAAATAGAAATAAAGCACTTTAAGTGTAACTGTGAAGGATTTTTAATTATGTTCTTTCAATGTATAATTATGTAAGCCCAGATTGTGTGATACTGCTAAACCCAAATTTCTAATATGAAAAAAAAAATAAACCTGTTTTATCATTGTCCTGTGTCTGTACATATTCCTTACTTAGCTTTATTTCCGAAATCATCTCCCCAACCTATTGCCGTGTTTGTTTCCAGTGCTTTCTTGGTATACTGACAAAAAATAAAGGTACATATTGGGACCAATTAAAAAAAAAAATCATTCTTAAGCGATGATGGAAGGAATAAAGCAGCCTAGGCAAGTTAAGCCTAGACAAGGACGATCAACAATTGTCCTCAGTGCCAGATCCATATTAGCTGCTCCTGCATGGATTTGCGACTCGACCGGTGAAGATCAAGGCATTGATACTAGACTCACGAATAAACAGTAGGAAAGGCCGGTCCGCAACAAACTGCTCTCGGAAGATGTTCAGGGAACGTCCGGTAGCTACTACCGCTGTGGCGGCAGAAGCTTCACTTCCTTCCTCGTTCACCTGCCGAAACAAATAGTGTAACCCACCTCGGAAAATGATATGGCTAACCATTTTAAATAATCTTACCTCAAGGAAGGCCTTATGGTAAGCATCGGAGATGAACAAGTTGGGACCTTCAGCATCAGCAACCATCCCTAGTGCCAGACGACATGACGGTGAAATAGCAGTGTTTAATAATGTTGCTATTACACCTTTACATTTCAAAGGCTGAAATTTCACAATTCTCAACACTAAATTTGAATAGGAGGTTTTTGCATGTATTTGACCAATTAGGTGCTCACATTTAGCTAAAAAGTGACTTTGTGGGTTTTGCTCGTCTCGCACTTTTAAAAACATGAATGAACCAAACACTTCAATAAATCAAACACGTCCCATGCTGCAAGTCATGCCACATGGTTTTACTTATTTCCATTTTTAAATTTAGTTTAGTGAGGGCAGCAGGGGGCGCTCAACCTGTGGTCTGTGTGAGTCCTAATGCCCCAGTAAAGTGAAGGGTACTGTCAGTAAGCGCCGTCTTTGAGATGACACGTTAAACCTAGCTCCTGACTCTCTGTGGTCATTTAAAATCCCCAGGCACTTCTCTTATAGAGTAGGGGTTTAAGCCTGGTGTCCTGGCCAAATTCCCTCCGTTTGCCCATCATGGCCTCTAAATCATCCCCATCCACTGAATCTAACCTATAGCTGGTGTGTGGTGAGAGCACTGGCGCTGTTGTCCTGTGGCTGCCGTCGAATCATCCAAGTGGGTGCTGAACACAAGTGGTGGGGTAAAGAGACCCCTCCTCGTGATTGTGAAGTATGGCCATACACAAATGCACTATATAAATACACATTACATTACTTCAGTTTTGGTGGGATATTATGCGATAATTGATTTATTTTTTTCTCGTAATTATTGCAGGCCAAAAACTGAATTTCAATTAACTGCCCTAATTCCGACTCTAAAGAAGCTTTTAGGTTGGACAAAAGAAATGGGGAAAGAACTTGGCGGTGGGTAAACTATGACAAATGAAGTTCACAACATAGGTTCAAGGGTAGCCTAATCATTTAGGTAGGTCAATCATTATCATGTTTGTATATAAGCAGCAGCCATTGGACTGTCTCAGCTGACGGTTTCTACCAGCATCCCTCCACCTGCCCTTGTCCCAGTCTTTCTCTTCAGAAGTACACTTATAGGTGGTTTTGAACACATAGCTAAAGTCAAGCCTTTTTCAAGCAGAGTGCACCAGATTCGTTGACCATAATTAATCGTAACTTAAAAAGCAGGTGAAGTCATAAAATTAAAACATTCATTAAAGTCAAAACGGAGTAATGTACCTGGGAGACTGGCATTTGCTGGACTAAAAAGATCTTCAAGGCCCATTTTCGTCAGCTGCTCTTTGAGGCTGAAACTGTCCTCAACACGGAAACGAGGAATCTGCACAGCCACTGTGGTCTCTTTCATAGCATGGAGCCAGCCGACAAGTTTCTTGAGGTTCATATTTGCCACCACCTTAAATAGATTCAGTATTGTTATGTATGGCGACAGATTAAGATCTTAAAGGAGAACATTGTGTTTACTGTTTATAGTAGACTTACTTCCGACAGGGTTGCGCCTTCAATGGGTAAGATGAGCACCATTGTGATGTCCCCACCGTTGTAGGGTAATTCAAGGATCTTGACTTTGTCCTCAGGAATTTTTGCATATTGAAATTTCTTCTCTTGGTACATCATGGGGACGGGACATTTGTGCGTTGGGCTAACATGAAAGTCTAACTTCATGACATTTTGCTTATCAAACTTGTTTTTCCATTGCCCCTGGAATGCAAAGAAAAAAACATACTGTAACAGGGTTCATGAGTCAGGAATGCCAAATCCTACACCTTAAGGGACCTCTTTTCTACTTCTAAAACACCTGCCTGGAAATTTCTAGAGCTGCATTCAGAACCACATTTTTTAAGGGTTGACAAGTCCTGGGGGTCACTATAATAATTAGTTTAGTGGCATCTCTAATCAATCACACCTGCCATTTAATTATCATGCAACACTAAAACATTTTATTTTTTAAGGTCTGTTCGATTAGGGATATAGCGGAACTCAGGACAGTGGCACTCTAGACCTATACTTGGTATGTAGCAGGTGCTCCATTTGGTTCAAACGTGCTTCCCGAAAAGTTCTATTAAGCATGTATTGAGTTAGACATATAGTGCTACACTAGTCATGTAACTGATACTGTACATGACATATGGCATCAATAGAGTCCGGACAAGTACATCTGCCTCCTATACTGGAGACTCCAGTTTGAATCCCACTTAAAAGTAATGCAAGTAGATCTGGAGGGGTTATATTGCCTGTTGTGACCGGGACAGGAGTAAGGTTTACCACAATGAGTGTAATGGAGACTAGTTAGTAAGAGTTGTGTAGCTAAACCTCAATCCTCTGACCTCTAGAGGCACAATAGCACATGACACTGGAGGTTGAGGTTTAGTGTGCCAGCCTATTGCTTTTTATCCAAAACTACTTAAATGGCACGTTTTACAAGTTCTTGATTTCCCTGGGTATTGAGGCTTGGCATTCCTAGTGTCATGCTTTAGTATTTGAACTAATATAATTAAGAAATTAAAAAAAAACAAAAAAGATTAAACAAATGGAGCAGGGGCTGAAGATCCTAATTAGTTGGTTTTAGTTCATCAATGCCTGAGCTCTTTGGATTGGACAACTCCACAAGAGAAATTTTACTCTTTAATAACAAGTACCTCTTTGTACCCTCACTTACTTTGAAGTAGATTGCATTCACCAAGACTAATATGGTGTTGGTGTCTATGGAACCTTCTGGCAGGGTATCTTTTATTCGGTTCTCGGTCTTGTTCGCAATCCATTCATTTATCGTTATCCTTGAAGCTTCCGGTTTCTCCTGGAGGCCAAAACCTGATTGATTAGTACAGGCCAGGGCCAAAGGACCAGATATTTTAGACCAGGGGTGTTCCAATCTGCTCCTGGAGGGCCAATGTTCCTTAGAGTTTAGCTCCAACACACTTGCCTAAAAGTTTCTAGTGAGTCTAAAGACCTGGGCTAGCATGTTCAGGTTATTTTACGGATAGGAGCAGTGGCTTTCCAGGAACAGGTTGGCACATTCCTGAAAAAGACATTCAAAAAAATGTAACCTTAAAATCGAGAGGCATCAACTTGGCTCCATAGACAGTCTCACTAATGTGCTGGAAGGTCTCATTAAAAGTTGTGGATTTGTCTCCAAACAAGCGGTTTGCAGAGATCAGTTCCGTTGTCTCGTGCTTTTTGCGATACAGACGACAGTTCAGCTTGGCGAAGAAGAAGTGGACTTGGTCTGATGTCTTTTCCTTTATCGTATCGAACTGAAACACCTACATGAAAAAGATAGAGAAATTGTTAACTTGCTCAAGTGATTGATTTTTATTTAGAGTTTCTACTGAACCTTACTTTCATAAGCTGCTCCAGCGTTGTGTTACAAGCCCCTAGCTTTGTCATGGCAAAAGCTGTTGAGATACTTATCGGTGACAGAAAGATGTTTTCATCATTAGATTTGCCCTCTGCAAGCTGCTTGAAAAGCGAGAGGGCGAAGCGGCTGTTGGCTTTGGACAGTTCCCACACTCGAGGGTTGGTTCCAACTGGGATATTCTCTGGCTCTTTGTTAGGTTGGATCTCATCTGGGTTGCGATAGATGCACATTGGCTCCAAGGGTAAGTCTTTGGGCTTTGCATTGCAGATATCTTTGGTTGCATGGATCGAACATAAGGCAAATGCCCACAAAGCCCACATACATGCCAATAACTTCATCTTGCCTAAAGTGCAATGAGAAACCATTTCAGGAAAAGACTAGTACAAATTTTAGTGGCTATGCAAATCACGCAATATAATGGCTGTTTCTCAGTTCCGAGAATGGACTTGCGGAGAGCAGTCTTAGCAGGTCACATTAGAATAACGAACACGGTAGACCGTAAGAACACAGAATGTGTCTTGTGAGAAATAAGATGTTGCGTTCTTCCTGATGGTCACATGACCTTCACACAATTTAATGTAAAATTAGTTCAACATTACAGCATTCATACAATGATTTTTTCCCTCCCTTTTCAATATATTTAACATGCGCACAAACCTTACAAATATACTTTGTGCAATACAAAAAAACACAGACTTTAATTTGAATTTCAGCAAATAAACACCTTTAATGTGTTTATGCCTTTATTAAGATTGTCATTGTCAATGTTTACTTTCACAAACTCCTGGGGTAAAGTTATATATCTGAACTTTAACTTTAAACAGGTATCAGGTTTCAGAATCAGCTGCAATGACTTTGAGCGAGTTTTACGTCAAATCTGCATCAACGCGTCCTCGATTTCAAGAATGCATCCAGGAACTCGCACATACTCCATTCTTGCAGTCTTGTGTTTTGGAACTGAACTTTGGCGGTTGATGATGCCGTTAAACGGGAACACGAGGATGCATATTAAGAAACAGCCAATGTCTTTTTCGAATTCAGAAGACAAGTAGGATTTTGGAAAAAAGGTTTGCTCTGAGCTAATCTGCTAGATTAACTAGCATTCTAGTCAAAAGTTGAAGTTAATTCTGGATTT